GGTGCTGAGGCTGCCAGCAAGTGTGGAACCATCGAGCTCTCCCTGTTAAATCCTTTCTGCCAATACTGCCTTTTGCTTGGAAAGTCTAACCCATTTACAGTGGACATAATCACTGTTAAGGATGACTGCTGTTCTGTTGTTTTGAGTCAGGGTCTCACTCTGTTGCCCAGGCTGGAGGGCAGTGGCCCAATCATGGCTCACCACAGCCTGGGGCTCAGGCGATCCTCCTGCCTCAGCCTCCCATGTTGTTGGAACTACAGGCACACCCGGCTAATTTTGATTTTGCCATGTTGCCCTGGCTGATCTCGAACTCCTGGACTCAAGTGATTCTCCTGCCTCAGGCTCCCAAAGTGCTGGGATTCTAGGTGTGAGCCACCGCACCCGCCCATTTTTGACATTAATTCATTGTTTTCTGTGCAGAGTTCTTGCATCTCTGTTGCTGTTTTTTGTTTTTGTTTTTGAGTTGGAGTCCTACCCTGTCGCCCAGGCTGGAGTGCAGTGGCACACTCATGGCCACTCCAGTGTTGACCTGCTGGGCTCAGGTGATCCTTCTGTCTGAGCCTTCTAAGTAGCCAGAACTACAGGCGCATGTTACCACGCCTGGCTAATTTTTTCTGATTTATGGTAGAGATGAGGTCTCGCCAAGTTGCCCAGGCTGTTCTCGAACCTGTGGACTCAGGCAATCCCTTCTCCTCGGCCTCCCAAAGTGCTGGGATTACAGGCTTGAGCCACCGTGCCTGGCCATCCACAAAGTTTAGTCTTTGCTTTTGCTGGTTTGATTATGATGAATCAAAGTGTACAGCTCTTTTAGTTAATCCTACTTGGAGTTTGTTGAACTTCTTGGATAGAGATAAATATTTTTCATCAAATTTGGGCAACTTTTGACCATTATTTCTTCAAATAGTCTTTCTCCTCCCCACCCCCCCTTGACAGCACATACCAATCTCTGGGGCTCTGTTTATTTTTTTCAGTCTTTTATCTTTCTGTTCCTTGATAATCTCAGTTGACTTCAAGTTTGCTGACTCTTCTGCCAACTCAGATTCGATTATTTTAGTATTTCTTTTCTTTTTTAAATTGGAGTTGGAGTCTCACTCCGTCGCCTGACTAGAGTGCAGTGGCACGCTCCCAGCCACCGCAGCCTCGACCTGCTGGGCTCCGGCGATCCTTCCGCCTCCGCCTTCCAAGCAGCTGGAACTATAGGCATGCGCTACCACGCCCAGATAATTTTTTTATTATTATCATAGAGACGAGGTCTTGCCAAGTTGCCTGGGCTGGTCTTGAACTTGCAGGTTCAGGCAGTCCACCCACCCCGGCCCCCCAAAGTGCTGAGATGACAGGCTGAGCCACTGAACCTGGTCGTGGCTGTTTTCTTGAACAGACATTTGCTGGGCTGTGACCAGCCTTGCCTCATGCCCTCCAGCGCGCTGAGGAGGCGGATTCTGATAATTTCTCCAGTGTCCTCCTTGCTTGTTCGAGGAGATGCTTCTCGGAGGCGCCTGTGCTGCTCTGGGCCGCCCCCCCCCCCCCCCCCCCC